CAAGTTCATATCTGGGAAGCTAAAATGCTGAAATCTCAGGATAATGTTCCCCTTCCAAGTAGGTATTAATGAGCTCAAAACCATCCCCCGGGTGTGCGTGATAACACGCACGGGCCCGTCAAAGTTTTTTCGGCTAAGCTGATAACTCGGGAATTTGAAAAGCTAAAGGGCTGTAATTTTAAGAGGATGTTCCTCGTTTACCTAAGTCTCATTGAGCTGAAACCCAGACTTCGGCTATGCGTGCTACCCAGATGCGGGCCCGCCAAAGTTCTTTTGGGTAAGTTGCTAACTCAGGAGCCGAGAAAGCCAGAAAGCTGAATTTTTATGAGGATTTTTCCTGACAGTTCTGGCGGCCAATCTTAATTTGTTTAGCTAGAAGCATTTGCCCAAAAAATCGGTGCCAAAAGCGACAAAAACTGCGGAGAACGATGCAAAAAACGCATCTTCGCGTGAGCAGCCCGTGCGTTGGCCAATTATTTGCTTTTCTAAACAGATTTTGCAGCTGTTTCTAAAATGTTGGCACTGCATGGAGCGTGAAGTGCATTTAAGCTGTTTAGATAAAAAAGAAAACAGACATTTTAATTCATTTATTGGCAAGGAAGGCTTTATTTTATTTCCTTGGGAAGGAAGGGATATACGCTTGTCCATTAATACTGCTTTGGATAACTCTTTTTCGAGTTTGGCCTTGCTGGAAATACCTGCACGACAAATTCCTTGCCCATTGTCTTGGATGGACTGTTACCCTAGAGCACAAAGAGATTTCATAGTAGACGAACACCAAAGTAGTTTCAACGGTATAGCGATTACTGTGTATGAGACATTTTTCTAATTTCGAAGAAAGCAAGAAGTTATGTCACTATGGGTTGGCCCCTTAAATGGCGGGCGTTAGCTGGAGTAAACACGAAAAAACAGCTAGTTACGTTGGTAAAACGAGGACTTGTAGGACAGTCTGAGTTTCAATTTCTGAATGGTTGTTTCAGTTTGTGACGAGTTGTTCTTGCGCACCACTTCTTGGATTTGCTTATCTCGAGCCTCCTTTTTCGATCCGATGCGTCGAAGTGTCCGATGATCAGGTAATTTTTTTGTTACTAAGTTTTTAAATGTGAATTTCAATCTCACTGTCTTCTTTTTCGTATTATTTCTTCAGCCCACGCGGCACTGTTGCAGGATCAGGGTGATACATTGGCCAGTGTTGTTCGTGGTTTTCTTGCAATCAAAAGGCGCCAGTCCCCTTCACGTCTGCCAACAGCATCCACATGCTTCAATTTGTTAAAATTGCCCAATTATAGCAAGAAGTCGATTCTACTTCAAAAACTACGATATGCAGTACACTCGGAAACTGGTTTTGAACTAAGCTAAACTGAGGTAAAATTGGTTCGCATTAAGTTTACTAGAAAAATCGCTATTGTATTAGTAATTAGTCGCTATTATATTATGCTAGTAATCACTGGAAACTTCTTTTTAGGTACTGCTTTAATGTAATTATATATTTATATGTATGTGATGTCCCTGTCCGTCTTCTATGTGTCTGTCTTTTGCATAGTAAGCGACTTAAAGATGGCTTATTTTTGTTTGTTTTCGAATTGACTCAGTGGACGCTTGCCAAAGATACCATTGCTTTTGTCTTCGTACTTTTCTTTTTTTGTTCCAAGTCTTTCAATCCATTTTTGTGAAATTATAGTATAAGCTTTCTAGTTTGTGGTATATTTTCAGCACCAGAAGCAGTTGTAGAACTCCGGTTATTTTACAAAACACTGGACTACACTTTTTTGCTCATTTTTTACTTTTTTTTCAAACTGTGAGCCAGTTTAATAGAAAATTTTTTTCTCCGCGATCGCTGTTAAGATATATGGACTAAATGTTGCATAGATATTGCGGGACATATAAAGAGTTTAAGCGAAGCCATTTTAGTATCCTCGACTATTCATGATTTTGAACATCTTGGTGAGGATTTCACCCAGTCAGACTGGATGTTTTTTTATCAGGTCTATAATGTACATACGTGTATGGTTATGTGTTTATCCATTCTGTACATTAATTTTTCATCCTTGCGTGGTTACGGTAAAAATTACCAGTGAATAAAATTATTTTTAAATGATTGCGATGCTGTACGGGTCTCTTCTGAGGGAATGTTACATTTTCATCTGTGAATTCAGTCGAAGCCAAACTGTTCTTTGGTGAACTTCATAGCACAGGAATGGT